GTAGGATCAATGAGGTCGCTGCTTGCCGAGGAGAGACTTTGCCACTTCCGAAAGTTCATCTACCTCGCCAAGCTCCAACCAAGATCCCGGAGGCATTCGCACCGCCATCCCGCGTTTAAGTCTTCTTTCTGTGCTACGAAATGCTTAACATTCGACATATCTATCGGTGGTTTTGGGAGTAATAAAATATGCTTGGATGGCATTCAGACGAAAAAAAAACATTAAAAAAAAAGGATTATTTAAGTCTGAATGAAGCATTTTTTTTTTTTCGGCGGGGACCGTTTGCTTTTTCGTTTCGGCCAAAAAACCCCATCAATTTTTAATGGTTTTTTTTCGTCTGAATGCCATCCGCATATTTTAGTACCAAAAAGTTCGAAATCTATATCAATTTTGAGAGCCCCTTTAGGTCGATTTGGTCCCATACGTTTAGTCAACGTCATTGAGCTTGAGGAATGCGAGTGCCGAGCGCACGGCGCTTCTTGACGGCACTATGCGTGCTACTGCTAGCCGGTAAGGGCGCTCAAAGGCTTCGCCTGGTTGTCGCGTCGGTGCTGGCAAAGTTTCGCGTCCTCACGGCGGATGAGGCGTCCGCTTCGCCGTCCTGGAGACTTTTCAGCACCTTCCTAGGCGATCTGAGGGACCATCGCGTCGGTAAAGTGCTGCTAGCGGGAGATCACTGCATCGTGCAGGCTAAAGACGGTGTCGACACGTACAAGTAAGTATTGACATGCCTCCACGTCAGTTTAAAAGCAATCCTATCACTAGAAGTGGGGCCGTCCCGGCGATATAATATTTGACAATCTGTGGTGTCGATGTGGCTTACAGAGTGCTGGTGCCACCAAGGACAGAGAATACATACATTCTCGATGCGTTAGTGCGCTCAGGAGTGGAATTTGGCTCCGCATCGCCGTCCACATCCAGCAAATTGATGCCGGTAGCAATTGCTCTGATGCCCTTCCTATACTTAGGACTCACGTACAAGATGCTCCGTGGATTGTACGGCTCTGACGCTGGAGCAGTGGGCAAAGATGGCACCAAGAAGGTTCGCAAACAGCAACATACTGAGCGGATCTCGTTCGACGATGTGGCAGGCATCGACGGCGCCAGGAAGGAGTTGGAGGAAGTCGTAGATTTCCTAAGACACCCGGCCAGATACCAGGCCATTGGAGCTAAAGTTCCTAAAGGCGTTCTACTATGCGGACCTTCAGGAACTGGCAAGACGCTGCTGGCTCGAGCTGTGGCTTCAGAGGCTGGCGTGGCGTTCCTGTTCTGCTCAGCATCGGACTTTGTCGAGATGCTGGTGGGCCGAGGGGCTGCTCGAGTGAGAGACTTGTTCACACAAGCCTCACAATACCCACAATGCATCATTTTTATTGATGAAATCGATGCTTTGGCTAAAGCACGGGGTGGACTTAACTCGAACGATGAGAGGGAGCAGACATTGAACCAGTTATTAACCGAGATGGACGGGTTTGAAGGGAATGTCAATGGAGTTATCGTGATAGCCGCTACGAACCGTCCGGAGGTGCTGGATTTAGCGTTATGTCGACCTGGACGCTTTGATCGCCATGTGTATGTGGGTCTGCCGGATGCTAAGGGACGTGAGGAGATTCTAGAAGTGCATTGCCGTAACGTGAAGCTTGATAGTGAAGTGGATCTGTCTGTCATTGCAGAGGAGTGTGGACCGTTGGGTCAACGCTCGGGAGCTCAGCTTGCAAGCCTTGTCAATGAAGCTGCGTTGCTGGCGGTACGTCACGGGGATACAAGTATCAAGTACGAGCACTTTGAACAGGCCATGAACCGCGCCTTCGCCTCGCAGACGCGCAGCATTGCTGGGTCCTCTTTCGAGTTCACAATGGAGGAAGTCTCTTAAGTTGTAGGAATGCGCTTTATAAAGCGGTCAAGACAGCTTCTGTTATATTTTAACAACGAAACGCTGCATGCTCGTACCAATGCGAGCTGGAAAACTAAACGACACACATTGCTCCACTTACACGACGCGATAACTGCATTTACTTGAAGCTGTAGCGATCTCTGACGCTCTCGTACCCGCGACGCAGCATCCAGCCGTCAATATCCGTGACAGTCATCGAGCTACCAGCCATCATAATCGCAGGACCCATATCCTTCGAAGGCTTCTCAGCGTCCGAGTAGAAGTCAGGAAGTCCAAAACCGTGGCCAATTTCGTGGCATACAATGTGAAGAATCTCCTGGTCAAGAGTCTGCAGCATGTTTTCGAGGTTGACTTCCTGTCCCCAATCGTAACCAAAACCTCCTTCGAGGCCCTGCTTCGGCCATAACGACAAATCGAATGGCTCACCCTTGCATGCGCTCGTGTCCGACCAGGTTTTAGGGCCGTTGTCAAAGAAATTGTAACAGGTTTGAGGACACTGTGGAACTCCCTCGGCGTCCAGATCACCAGCGTAGATCGTACCGAGCGAGTCATCCTTCCAGTCTAGCAGGGACGCATCCTTGACGGCAAAGCCAACCATGTTGACCTTAATCTCATCGTACGGCCAGCAGCCATAGCCGATCAACCAACGGTTCCATTCTGCGTATTGACGCTCCAGCATGGCCTTGAACTGGGAGGCCACGGTCTTGGAAAGTTTCTGCGTACTATCCCATCGCACACAGTAGTTGAGGGTGCCTTTGCCCTTCACAATGTGGTCGAAGATCCAGTTCTTGTTGTTCGTCTGGTTCACGCCCATGCGATTCTCAAAAATCCAATTAACGTCCTTGGTGCTGATAGCGTTCGTGTCCGGGTCGCCGATGACACATCCACCAGATTTGGACGTCACTGTTCCAAATGGAGCGTGCTTGCCAGTGCTGGTGGACGTTTGAGTCGCATCCGAACCTCCTTGTTGCGTCGCATCTGAGCCTCCTTGTGTCGCATCTGAACCTTCCTGCGTCGCTGAGGATTGAGCTGTGTTGGACGATGACTCGGGTGACGGAGCAGTATTTGAGGACGATTCAGTGTTAGATGACGACGCCGAAGAGATTTGAGTCGCCTGCGACCAGCCTTGGTCACCGGTTCCGCTAGACTCCGTCGACGTCGCAGGAGTGGGCTCTTCGATCCCTCCCGAGGTAGCCGCGTCCGAAGAGCCTTGGTCTTCGGATTCACTAGAGGTGGTTGGAGCCGTCGTCGTGGACGGGGTGGTATTTGACGAGCCTGCCGTCGAAGTCGACACAGACGGTTCCTCCTCGTCGGAGCCACTGCACTCTAGACTGTAGTCGTTGTCAGGGTTCATATCTTCGTCCGAGCCGCTGCATTCGAGACTCATATCATAGCCGGGAGACACCCCGCCTTCGCTTGACCCACTGCAATCCACACCCAGTGTTCCATCGTCGTACCCACTGGAGTCACCGGTTGAAGGCGGTCCGGCGTTGGATGAAGGCGACAGTCCTTGGTCTCCATTTCCGCTTCCCGTCGGCGTCCACCCTTGGTCTCCAGTTCCGCTTCCTTGAACACTTGTTGGTGTCCAGCCCTGGTTTTCACTACCACCTGAGGTTGGCGGAGTCCAGCCCTGTTCGCCACTTCCACCTGATGTCGGTGGCGTCCAGCCCTGGTTTCCACTACCGCTTGAGGTCGGAGGCGCCCACCCCTGACTACCAGTGCCACTTGATTGTCCGCTGGTTGGTGTCCACACCGTAGGGGTATCTGGCGTCGTAGGCTGAGACCAAGTTTGACTGCTCCCGCTTGACTGCCCGCTGCCCGCTGAATAAACCGACGGCGTTTCCGGCATCGTTGGTTGAGACCAGCCTCCACTACCGCTAGGTGTGACCATGGGAGCAGTCGTGGGCACATTGTTAGAGGACGAGGCCTCCCACTGCATCGGAGAATCGAAATTCCCGAAGCCGCTCGCTCCAGTAGCGGCATTCGTCGTTGGTGTGTCGCCTCCGGGCGCTACTGTGCCTGCAGTCTGGGTGACGTCATTCTGACCTGAGAAGTCGATGGCAGATGATGTGGCTGCCAATGTAGCCGCGAGCAGCACTGCAGGTGTGCGTGGAAATCGAATTCGTGCCATTTCCAGACAATGACGCAATGACTCCTTCTTACGTAAAACTACAAATGGGCTTCACCTGGAGAGTTGCTACCTATTGACGGTCGGTACACTACTGTGCATGAATCGTAATCCAATTGAACGATGGTAACCCCATCAAGAAATTAATCCACCTGCTCTTGCTGTTCGTTCAACGATACAACGATAGACGGTTTGTTCGTAATGCTATCAATTGATAACCATAGTTTATTGAGTACTAATCTTCTCGACGCCCACCTTTACAAACGATTTGTAGGATGGGGTGGCGTGACACGAGTCGAGCCACAAATGCCTGCATTTCTTGAACTCAATCTCTATGTATTATGTTTGCTATTGGCGGGCTGCCAATGGCGGCATAATACACGGGCCATGTACTCTCCAACCAATTGCACTCCTGGTGGAATGTCCACTGCCCAATTGAATAGGCCACCTACAATGCCTACTTCGTCCACGCGACAACTGAACCAGTCAATCGAGCCGATGCAAGTGAGTCAGGCGGATAGTGCTGTTCACTTGTTGTCCACACGGAATTGTCTATATCTGTGTACATGTACGTAAACCGTTGCATCACCTGACTCATAGGTTGACGAACCGATTCAGCAGCTATTTTGCAATTTTGTACTGGTGGGCACGAGTACGTTGATAGTGTGATAAAATTATGCTTAAGTAGACCTTCAGTGAATTTGGCACGCTAGAAGCAACGCATCACTCCTCATTAAGCTTAGACGCCCTGATGTTCTGATAAAAAAAAACTTTTCACAGAATCTGTTGTAAAACACAAAATAACAGAGAGGACTTTGTTTTCACAGAGCGCGCGGAAAGGTACTCTGTCTTCGCAAAATGGTACCACTGAAATCACATCACATATGGATGAATATCATTGCTTATTCGACCTTACTAGTATTTTGTATGCCTTTAAAGGGATTCGTTTCAGCCAATAATAATGAAAAATGTATTATAATCCAATCACTACTGGCTATAATTTATATTTTCACCAATAACAAGCGTTAGGGCTAGGTTGATCAGCCAGCCTTTCCGACATAGGTCGGATTGGAACGGAAAATGTGCATATCGATACAAACAAGTAGTACAGTATATATTGTGATCATCAGTCACTTTGTCCCTTTGGATTGGCTGTCAATACTTTCTGAGGGCAGTTCTTAACCACGCCATGCCATGCCATGGCAGAAATTAAAGCCAGATGATTGGCCAAGAATTTTTAGGGGTAGGGTGGAAATGCCACGCATGGCAAAAGTCCAGTGCCACCAAAAGTGACTTTGCCACGGTGACATTAGGGAAATTTTTGAATAACGGAGGGAAATCCAGAAAATTTACAACGAAATGGAGGGGGATATAGGCGCAATTCTAACGCTACTGCTAGCGCTCTTGCCGCTCGTTGCTTTGGCTGCTGAAGCGCGCCGCCAATGTCGACACCGCGTCCGGCTAGACTGGAAGGCACACGGAGGGCTACTAGTGGATGAGGGTCAGTTCCAGAAGTGCTATAAGATGTCTTATGAGTCATTTATGGCGCTTGCTACGAAGTTGGATCCATATCTACGTGTTGACGAAAAACAGTCTAGCAACAGGACTGGTGTTGAGCCGATAAGCCCCGTTAACAAGCTGCACATGTGCTTGCGTTGGCTTGGAGGCGGTTCGTACCACGACATTCGGGTAACAAGTGGAGTTAGCGTGTCGGCCTTCTACGCCAGCATCCATGAAGTTGTGGATGCAATAGTCGACCATCCAGATCTACAGCTACAGTTCCCTTCAACCATAGCTACTCAACGTTACGCTGCAAAGCACTTTGAAAATCTCAGCAGCTCTCGTGTAATGAAAGGATGCGTAGTAGCCATCGACGGCTGGTTGTGCCCCATACGGGTGCCGAAGAAGGACGAAGTTTCGAGAGTTCGCTCATTTTTTTCGGGGCATTATCGACGTTATGGTGTTAATGTGCAAGCCTGTTGCGACCATCTAAGTCGGTTTACAGCCGTGGCATGCTCTAGTCCCGGTGGAACTGGAGATGCGGTTGCGTTTCTAAAGTGGAGACTATCTAGCGTCGTTAGTAAGTTTCCTGCCGGATTGTACGTGGTTGCAGATAACGCTTACACTAACACCAACCAGCTCTTGACCCCGTTTCCTCGACCAAGAATATCAACTACGTTCCATGACAGCTACAATTTTCACTTGAGCCAGCTGCGAATTAGAATTGAGATGGTCTTTGGTCTACTGGTGAGTAAGTGGAGAGTTTTCAATGCGCCGATGGAAATCGCCTTTAACAGAGTGTCTTGCACAGTATTGGCTGCGTGCATCTTACACAATTGGTGTATCAACCGGCGGCTTCAAGAAGATATATTCTATCGAGTAGATAACGATGAGGACTTAGCGGAGGCGTTGGACGCAACAGTGGAATCGAACGATGCATCAAGAGATGTTACTGTTGCTACGCAAGATACTTCAAGGTATCGTCAGCTGTACGACTCCTCTGACTTACTTGTCGACACGGACACCTATAATTCTTCGGAGTGGATTAGAGGTGCTGTTGTCGATCTTCTTGAACGTGATACCATTTTGCGCCCGCAATTAAATCAGGCCAGACGACGCAGAGAAACACAGGAGCAGTGAATCCAGCTTGCATGCATTAAATATCAAATGAGTACTGCTGTTACCTTGTTGCTTCGTCCCTCGTGATAACCACAAGTAGTTAATTTCCCGCAAGATAGAGAAGAAGATGGTGTTCACCCACACCAGACTTCACAACTAATCCAGCTCCGCTAGGCGGGATTCGTACTGCTGTAGTCGTTTGGTGTACAGCCCAAGGCTGTTCGTCAATGCCACGTCGGTTTCTCCATTGGATACAGACGCACGTAAACTATCCTTCACTTGGAAGATCACTTGATGAAGTTTAGCAATCCGACCAAGCAGCATGTCTTCCTCATCAGCGTTTGGTGTGACGGCTTTAGTCGACGCCGCTGTTGAGCTCTGATTTCCGATAAGAACCTCAGCGATGCGATCAAAGGTCGTGAGAATGTTGTCTTGCCACTTAGTTGACTTGCGTAAAGAGCGATCACCCTTTGACGAACGCTTCAAGTTCATCGAGTCGATTTCATCTTCCTCGTGCATGCCCCCTTTCACATACGACTCCAACTCTGGCTTCTGCTTGATGCAAACCTTCACATACGCAGCATCCAAACTTCCATCGCAGAACTCGTAAAAGTCGTTGGAATTTTGACCGGATACATCGAACTTCGAGAAGGCTTTGATGTATTTGGTGTTCACTTTCTTCCACATGTCATAAAGTCGTGATGCATCATGCTGGACGATGACAGAAGGGTCGATCCCGATGTAGCGAGGGTCATTGAAGGTGAAGAGGCCATTGTAATCTGTTGTGTTGGTTTGAAACTCCTTGGCTACCTCCTTCCAAAAGGACGTGTTCTGGTTTACCTCACCCGTGTCTTTTTGGTCTCTCGTTGCCGCGTCGTCGGATGAAGCAAGACGCGTAGCAAAACGGTCCGAGAAAATAACATCGAGAAGTCGAATGCAGCAGTGTTTTGTTTTGCGCAAGCTTGGATCCAACAGGTTTTCGTCGTCAACAGTTGCTTGAACTGCTCTACGTGTAGCATCGTGTCTCATCAAATGTTCAACGAGCGCAAGCTTACCGAACTTCCTGGGCACTCGCAACTTTCTCTCGCTGCACTCCTTCCGCAGTTGAGCCACCGTCCACGACGCATAGTCATCACATGTCGGCGTCGGGACCGCTCCCGGATTTTTAACGGTCCAGTTGCGTATTTGCATTCCAATACGGTCGGCGGTGGCACCTCGGCTCACCGGTTGTGAATCGTTACTACCAGGCTCCGGTACACCACGTTCTTCGGCGTTTGAAAGAACAACAGCGCGGTCGCCATCCTCCGTATAATTATGTTGTGGATAGTTAGATCGGGGCTCGCTGACTGCAACATAGCGGGCATTTCCACCATTAATTTGGGTGCCACGGTCCGTTATATCAATCACGTTGCGCACACCAGGAGCACAGTACCCACTGGCATCACTATCTCCACCGGCAAAACGGTCTCCACCAGCAACAAAGGGTCCACCAGCAGCAAAAACACCTTCAGCAACGCAGTTCCCAGTAGCAACATAGTATTCGTCAGCAACACGGTCTCCATCGATGCCATTGGCATGGCGATCAACAACATGGTCTCCACCAGTAGCACGAGTGGCCTACGCCAGCGACATGACCAGTAATGGTACCAGCAACATGATCTCCGCCACCAGCAGCACGGTCTACACCTGAAATATGGCCTTCATCAGCATCAACTCCAACACCGCAACAACCTTTACCAGCTTCGCCCATGCGTAGTACCGCAGCAGCATCGCGGTCATTACCTCCTCCACCGTTAAGAAGCCCACAAAAGTCACGACCAACAGAGCGAGCTCCATCTGCAACATCAACCCCACAAAACGCAAGTGGAGTGGACACAACGCCAACGTGCTCAGAGGAGGATTTCCTGAGAGCATCTACAGGTGGCGCACCGCTTGCTGGCATGACTTTGACGCGCTTGGGCCGCCCACTTCGCGCGTCTGTGGTCCTCTTCGCGCTCTTGTTGTTGCCAGGCATCTTCGTTTCCTTTTGGTCAGCAAGATTTGTTTTGTTTTTCTTTAATCGTAAAATTTTGTTTTTAGAAAAAAATAATATTGGTGGCAGTTGCGTTCCTAACGAAAAACTGCCACACTGCCATGACGCTGCGACAAGTTTGCCATGGCATGGCACTTATGGCAGTGGTTAAGAGCGGCCCTGAGAGGGAGTAGGTTGTCGCTTTAAATAAAGTTTATGGTCGAAAATCAGAGTAATAATCAGAATTAGCAGTTTTAAATAATAGTAAGCGGTAGAGAGGACTCGAGAGTCCGTTAGTTCACTTATAGCTTGTCTGCAATGTACTCGAACGCTGCATTCTCAACAGGCTCACTGGTTCTGCTAGTGTGTCCAAACTCACCAACTTTAATTGCAACACATGCGCGTGTCTTTTCCATTGCGTATTTATAAATGTTCCAGGTGCTTGGATTGCCCAGTTCTGCATGAGCATTCGGAGAAATCTATGTTTATATAAACGAGATGGGATAATTTAAAACGGACACTAATCTAGATAACTGGTCACTAAGGCCCTGGTCTAAGTAAACATTCTGAAAATCGTTCTGAGAAATAGCGTGTACTGATTTGCTAAAATTGAGTTGCCACTCGGAACGAATTTCAGTTTTTTACCGTTCTCAATAGCAACCTCAGAACGCCTGGCAGAGGTGTTCTGAAGTCAGA